CGAGCCCCATGAGGGGCCCGGCGGTGGACCTGCAAGGCCAGCAGGAGTGCAAGGAAGCCCCGCGAAGGCCCTCCCTGGCCCCAGACAGGCAGGGGTGGGGAGAGGCAGGGAGGAAGCAACTTACCCTCCCTCTTCTCCTGCCTCCTCCTGGCTGAATGAGGGCCGGAAGCGGGGCGGCCGGAAGCAGGGGGCGGGGCTTCGGCATGTGCCCCGCCCCCCGTACCTCACCCGGGGGAACTGCGATCCCCTGCGATCCCCCCCGAAATGACCTCTGGTTGTTGTTGTTCAGTCGCACAGTTGAGTCCGACTCTTCGCGACCCCATGGACCAGATCACGCCAGGCCTTCCGGTCTTCCGCTGTCCTCTGACGTTTGCTCAACTTCATGTTCGTTGCATTGATGACACTGTCTAACCATCTCATCCTTTGCCGTCCCCGTCTTCTTTAACCTTCAGTCTTTCCCAGCATCAGGGTCTTCTTCTCCAGTGAGTGCTCCCTTCTCATTGGGTGGCCAAAATATTTGAGCTTCAGCTTCAGTATTCTGGCCTTCCAGGGAACAGTCAGGGTTGATTTCTTTTAGGATTGACTGATCTGATCTCCTTGCAGTCTCTCAAGAGTCTTCTCCAGCCAGCACCATAGTTCAAAAGAATCTATTCTTCCGCGCTCGGCCTTCCGTAGGGTCCAACTGTCGCAGCTAGGGTGACCAACCTCCAGGTGGGGCCTGGGGAATCTCCCGCTTTTACAACCGATCTCCAGCTGACAGAGATCAGCTCCCCTGGAGAAAATTGCTACTTTGAAGGGTGGACTCTATTGCATGGTACCATGCTGAGGCCCCTCCCCTCCCCAACCCCCGCCCCTCTGAGGCTCCACCCCCAAAGTCTCCAGGTATTTTCCAACCCAGACCTGGCAACCCTACTCGCAGCTGAATGCACACAAAAGCTGTTGTACCCAGAATTAAACTTTGTTGGTCTTAAAAGGTGCCGCTGGACTCAAACTTGTATCAAGTTTTCTTTTGTTCTTTCTGCCCCTTTGGTATGCTTTGTGCTCGCAAATGAAAAGTCTGAGAGCCTGCATCCCCATAGAGGATCCGTCGCTACCTCGTGGCCAATGTTCCCTCTAAGCTGTGAAATCCTGTGAGCAAAAATTCTACTTTGTGAGCTACTGGCAATATAGTTGTGAGCAAGTAATGTGGCTGCTGCATAAATTAGTTTGCTCGGGAGCCGTCCCTCCTGAGCCAAGATAAAAATGTGTGAGCTGGAGGCTAAAAAACAGTGGGCTAGCTCACACTCACTCAGCTTAGAGGGAACAGTGCTCGTGGCCCTCCAAGAGGGCTCCTGCGTTTCTGCGCCGCCACCATGACAGCCCATGAATGCATTTAGTATTATTTTTTTCCAAAGCCTTTATAGCAGCCGGTCGCTTCCGCCCGGGAAAGTCAGGCGTGTGGGGAATCTGTTTCGGACATATCTCGCGTCACAATGTGTGTGGGTGGGAGCGGGTGCAGGTTCCGGACCAAAAACGGGCTGTCTGGATGCGACCCAGGCTGCTCACGTGTCTGTCTATGGGAGAAAGCGAGCGGGCGGGCCGCCTCATAGCGAGGCGGGAAAGCCTCCCCGCGCCTCGAAATCCGACAGGCAGAAATCCGACAGGGGCGGCTTTTACCCCGCGCGGGGAGAGCTTCACCCGTTGAGCGTCTGCCTGTGTACCTTTGCGTGTGGCGGGGTGAAGCCTGAAGCATTTTGAGGGCAGGATATATTTATGATGCGTGTGGATATGTTTTATGACACGTGCGGCAAAGGACTATTTATTTCATTCGATGTGATGTGATGTGACTTTTTTTACTCCCGGCTCCTAAGCCGCCGCCGTCTCCTGGCGAGGCCCGGCCGACGCTGAGGTAAAAACACCGCCCGCGAAGGCGGCCGAGAGCGGCCGGCGGGCGGGGACCGACGGCCTCGCGCGCTCCCCATTGGCTCTCCACGTCCCCCCGGCGCCGTCACCCGCGGGCGCCATTGGCTCTCGGGCGGCGGGGG